TAATATTTGAGGGCAAAATCACATTGTTTATTATTTTGTTTAATTATAGGAAATCATTATATACTTGTACTCTGCTATATGAGAGAAGACAGGTTGAACCTATCCCAAACTACTTCATAATTAAGGTGAAATGTATTTCTAAGATTTAGTAATTTCAATTTGAAACCTTACGTCTTACGTATTCACAGTGAACTCCAACTATTTTAGCAATAGAGCTCTCGTAGTAACATCTCAACTCTCATAATAATTATTCGTCTCTGCCAGAACTTAAAAACGATCATGGAAAAATATATTCTTCCATTTAAAAGAATCAAAGTCTTGAATATCTTAGATATTAAGAATATTACAAACAAAATAAAATATGTTAATCCCCCCACCACCACCATCATCTACAATTTGGCCTAAATGGCATTCAAGTATCTAGAACAGTTTTGAAGCTATTTGTTCTGATTAACATGAGTGGCTCAATCTGTATTATCTACTGAAGCAATTTTTGCTGAAATTAACTTAGCTGGATAAAAGGTCCAAGGTACTGGAAACGGCCCTTCGTACGTGTGAAAGGATCAAATGGGACCATTGAAGTACATGTTATTTTCATGCATTTGAAGATGGAAATTCGCCACCGCGCGACAGACATAGCCTACCTGTTTCGTTTACTTTTTAACTTGTTTAAGGTCGCTCTTAAACTACTAAGGTCATGTAGTAACCACTGTAAGTAATATTGGGGGTAACGGTAACGGTATACGGACACACACAAACATCCATGTCCCGGGCGGGATTCGAGCCCGCGATCCTTCAGGCAAGGAAGCTACGGCCCTCTAGCCCTAGCGATCTCGTATCTCCTGGTCGGCGGACATACCTGTTGTTTCCCCCACGCATGCGACTCCGCTCATGTCATGCCGCGAATGCCTGGATTGAACAGCAGGTTCTCTTGCGATCTCTTATATTTCATTATGTCGGTGCATGTTTAAACGCACTCGTGCAACTGCACCAGATAATATACGTATATGACACATCTTGCTTATTGGCTGCAACAAGGTTTTAATACAAAATTTGGCGGTGATGAATTATTAGTAAGAAGAGAATTTTTCAAGCTTTTTCTACAGAATTGGAATATCCATTCCTTGAAAATTTAATTCAAAACATGAGTTATAAATTTTTGGGACTCTGGGTTTTATCAGCAAACTTGAAATTTGAAATGCGTCTCATTAAAAATACTTTTTTTTGGTTGCGCCACAGGCAGGTAATGAGTAATATGCAAATTCTTTTTTGAAACCACTTTGGTTTAAATGCTCGATTTTAAAAACACTGACATACTTTCCTGGAGAATGGCACACTCTTGTTTGACCATGACCATAGATACCCTTGGCACTATTGCTAGAATGTAGGAAAATTCCAACCTGGCATTGCGAGAGGCGGTTACAGATGTTCAGAGAGGTGTATCCATTTTTATTCAGATATATTAAAAGGATTATTCGTCGACCTCAAATTCATGCCCGAGAAACGAAAGCATTTAAAGAGAGGGAAAACTTCTGCATAGAGAGAAATTACAGGAAAAATATAAGTTTCGGGCTGTGGCGGCTCTTGGGCTTAGGTCGGGAATGCTACAATTAGGTACAAATCTTACACTAACGTTCATTTCTAGCGTTATCATATAATTTTCTTTATTTCTTCGCTAAGTGAACCCATCAAGCTAATGTAGCCACCACATCTAAATCAAACCAACGCAGTGCAAGAAATTCTAACCTTTTAATCATTAATTCATTGGCCCAAAACTAATTTTATTTCTTTAATCTCTTCCAAAAACAGAGCTACCTCAGCGTGATATGAAACTGGTCTAGGCACCATAACAATAATATACAGTACGTACACGCCAAAATATTTAACTTATTTACTTATAATTACCGCAAAATATTTTTTTTTCTGTTAACCTTTATTCAATAAAATGAGGATACTTCAACCTTCATTATGTTTTAGACTTCGAGAATAACGAGCATTAAAAATTTTGAGTTATGGTTTTTATTTACTAATTAAATTGTTAAAAATCCTGGAACAATTCGAATTAGATTCTACTATTGAAGCAACAGCAGCTTCATGGGCCACGAAAACTGTCAACCTTGAAAGTGCGTACCATGCGCACTATTAGATCTAATTCGGATAAAAATATTTTGAGCTAATAGTTAATTTTGAACTTTTTGAAAAAAAACCGACATGCATTAGCAAAACTTCTGAAACCCTGTTGCGTTTATTTTGTTGTAGCAAAGAAAACGCGTACAACATTCGGAAATACTAGTAAGATTAGATTACAACGTGAATAATGACCATTTTATCGTATGATATATGATTATTTTAGTTTCTGTTCAGAGCTCCACACAGAAAACTTGTACAGTAAATCTTTCTAGTCATGATTCCATTATTTGAAACGTTATTCTAAAATAAGAGAATATTTATCTCTCAGAGAGATATAATACATTTTCGTGGAAGCAAGTACAGCACTGAAATGTCAAATTAGATAAATTAAATCACAGTACTCCCACAAATGCAAGAAAATCATACGAAATTCAAGATCGATGCTCTCTCATATGGTATAATGCAAGGTGTGTAAGAATGAAGTAAAAGATACAGAAGTGCTAATGTGACCAACTCATATTGTATTATTCAACATCTACGGTCGACGTTTCAATTATATTTCATATCAATGGGACCATGCCTCCCCCCCAGTGAAAATTTCGAAAGGGATTCCATAGGAATACGTAGTAAAACGTTTTATATTCGTAAATATGATCAATTCTTGATTCTCCTCCTTTGGTAAACCTACAACTTGGGAAAATATGTTCGACATTTCTGGAAGACGCTTTCCAAACCATCTGGTAATCCTGTAAACACTTCACCATAACACTAATTTTATTTAAATGTACCAAGAAAATTACTTAATTGTCTCTGTATTATGTTTTACGTGACAGTAAAATGTAAACATTTTAGTGGGTTACGGGTCCCAGAAATGAGGTTGCCACCTCATATTTTACATTGCGCACGCCTATGTCCGGAACCTAAGCAACAGCGTGTCTGAAGTTTCGACATTTGCACAGTGGTGTCACAACAACTTGCAAGAAACATGTCAACAACTTGTAGAAAAAATCCCAAGGCTAGAATGTTGCTGTTAAGTAGCTAAGCGTTCTTAAAGTGTCGAGAATGAGATAAATTGTGATAGATGAGTTACGTGATCGCGTGCCTTGAGTAGCGTGTGCTTTTAGTTTTGCGGTTAATGATACTCGCATACAACTAGATCGTCACGTGATAAAATGCGTAGTACACGGCAATGGCGCGCCCTCCATCCAACTGCCAGTCACATTATTTTATTCGGACCTCAGAGATATTTCGGATTGGACTGCAACCTAGAGTACAATATGCTTTGAGTTCAGGTATTCTGACCACTAACGAGCTGAAGCGTTTGGACTCCCGCTCTTCATAAACCAGCAGAAAGCGTCCTGGATGCCATAGCAACCATCACGCGATCTTGCTTTGAACGCAAGCTGTGGCACCGCTAGTAAAGATATCCGGCGAAGGCCTTATAGTCTGAACGAAATGAGAAGAAAAAAACCCTCACACCGTACGTTTAATACTTTTACGGCGCTGTTGGAACTTCATTACGCGCGTCCAAATTGCTGAAGCGGCCTCAGCCTTCTGCCTCCACTATTGACTTGAAACAAACTCCAGTCAGCTCAAAGCATAATTACCGCCACATACCGCCAAAATACGTTGTTGTAGACGTTTGTTAGGAAAAAAAGAAAAGAAAAAGCAGAAAACAAAGAATTTTAAGAAACCGAGCAAATTTCAAAGAACTTCAAAAAATTGAAAGCAAGTTAAATTAATGCAGACACTGACATGCTAAAGTATTGAGGAAGCATATATTGAAAAATTGCTTCTTAAATAGCGCGAAACAGTCCTTTGTTTTTCTTAATTAACAAACATCACCACATATTATTCACACCTCTATCTAATTCATCCCTAGGATTCTTCTCGCACCTTTCCTTCGTTCACCGCATAGAAGGTTAGAATGAAATGTAAACATGTTGTCTAGGTTATCCGGGACGAGCCGCGTCACTGACATGGCGACTAACGTTTCGTCCAGCGTATTGTGGCCTCCTTCAGAGCATACAGTACGCTCTGAAGAAGGCCACCATGTCAGTGACGCAGCTCACCCCGGATAGCCTAGACAACACAAACGCCGGCCGCGGAAACCTACGCAACGAAATGTAAACATATCTCTTCACTGAAACTTCGAAAAAACGTAAGAAATGTCGCAACGTTCAAAATATGCTCATTCAAACTATGGAATTCCTTTTCTCCACGGATTCTCCTCTTTTGTTCTTTGATTGCGTTCTCCGATCTCCCCAAGTTTGGGAGTCGATTCCTGAAGGGTGAAAGATAAACGGTAACTGTATATGAGGGTATGAGTTAGGCCTGTAAGAATGGCAGAGATAAAGGTGTTCACTATTGCGTACACCATTCAGCGGCTATCTAACTATGCATGTCAATTTGCGTTATTAATTGTAATGAGGAACACGTTCACTTTTATGCAACTGCTTGAGGTTCAAAAGCCGATTAACAAAAAATAACAATTCAAGAAACGTAAATATAATTCTCAATTATTGAAGCAGAGGTGATCAGACGTATATGTTACGAAACTATGAACGTCCGTGAACACAAATGTCATTTCACTCCTACACGTGGAATTGTGGCGACAGCAATGACAGTGAAGAAAAACAAACAAATGAGAACAAATTAATCTAGTTTCTATTCCAAGCAGACGTGTAAGACGTTCTCCACACGTTACTGACAATTTTTTAATCTACAACACACTTTGTCTTTTGTGGAACGCCTCATTTCAAAAGCATGCCAACTGGAAATATTCGTTTCGCATCCACTTACCAGGAAGTCGAAAATGGCGCGCTCTGCCCAGTGCTGCCCCTAGCGGCGGACGCGTCCACCACGCACACAACCCCCTCGTTCCTCGGCCCGAGTGCCGCGGCCGCCCGGGCCCGACTGGCGCACGACGCGACGCAGGCGACGCCGCCGCCACCCGCGGCCCCGTCGTCACCGCCAGCGCTTCGAACCCAGCGCCGCCCCGCGCGCCTGCGCCGCGACGCCGCAAAGATGCACTCAAGTAGACTGGAGCCAACTATCTGCACTGAGAAACCGCGGCGGTCCGTACGCGAGTTCGTCGTCGTGGTGCGTTTGTAAGCTATACTATGATTTTGTTTAGTGGCTGATGACATTAGATTATTGTTACATCTCCTACCTTATAAAATGATTTTTTTAAACACAGGTAAGCACGTTTTTAAGGCCACGAGTCCCATTGAGAGGACGTTCGCGAATTAATTAAAAATATCCATTTTATAAGGCAGGAGGTGTAATGTGACCTATCATCGGCCACTTTCAAAAAAAATAGGTATAATCCTTGTGACTTGAAGAATTACGATTCTATTAAGGACTAAATCGTGAGAATCGAGTGTGCCATGCCTATTTTAAACATTTTCTCTTCTTTATGTTCAAGGAAACTTTAATTTGGAAGTACAGTTTACTTGCAAAACTTGAACAAAATCTTATCTTCATCTTGGAAATTATTTTACATTTGGTGTAAATATGAACGCAGCGCATTATAAGCAATATTCTCGCATTTTATTTCATAAAGATTTTGAGCATCAACCACTACACACAACAAAACATTTAACGAGGTGAGGACGTCTGGGGTTCACCATATGCAACCTAATAAAATATGATCGTCATAATTTTCCGCCTCCAAAACATTGCTGTTGAATACTGACGTCAATTGATGCATCTCGCACCTCGCCGCCGGCTGAAGCGAGGAGTCGCCGCTGACACACGACATTCTCCTGGTTGGACGCTCGGATTTTTATTCAAGGTCCCTATATAAGACTTATTATTCCCAGTTTCCCATCAGTGGAGTACATGCCTTACAACTGGATGTTTTGACTGATTGTTTAGTGATTCCGAGCACACCAACTACCAGGGCCATTAGTCCCCCAAGTGTAATGCATGTATTTTTGCGCGGGAAGTAGCGGTGATCTTTTTCCCATTATATGGCGAGATCCGGAGCCAACCTACCGTCGGCTAGCAGAGGTTTCCTCAACCAGGTATCTCCCACCAGCGGGATAAGGTCTTTGCTCCTAACGGGCCTCTCGGCATGTCTGGTAGTGTAGGGCATGTTAGTTTAAGGGTGTGTGTGTGTGTGTGTGTGTGTGTGTAAGAACCGTCTACAAAAATCTGAGAGACGTAGCTTGGAAAAATTTGTCTTAACATTGGGAGATTAGGTACCTATTCGCTTAAGCTGCGTCTACACAATGCGCCTTTTTCTTCAATTTTGCGCATGCGTCTAACGCATGTAGTAGCACATGAAGCTCATGCGTTTCGGGCAGGCGTCATTTCTCGGAAGGAAAGGACGCATACAATAACGCTTGGCTTCCCTCAGGAGACGGGAATCTCGTGCGTCTTCACTGTGCGTTTTCTCCATGAACAACATAGTTTGCACCTTTCAAACAATGAACTGTATTTCTAACATTATTTATTTAGTAGTTTGACTCCAGATCTGAATTTCAGTATCTGTTAAAATGTTGTGAAAAGTAATGGTACAGTCCACTATTATAGAGTTTCCAGTTCCAGAGGAACTTCTAAGCATACCGTCAGATTCATTGAACGAAAAACCAGGAATGGTGTTGATAGTGCAGCGCATATGCGTTAACGTGCACAATGAATCTGGCGGTATGCTTATGAGTTAATCTCCCTATCCTCACTAACAGTCGAAAGAACAATAGGAGAAAAGCATTTGCAAGAAAGAAATGATATATAATTTGTTGCGTCTGATACTGACGCAACGCGTCTCTAAACCCCTAGGAGGGCGTTGAACGCTTGCTAGGAGTAATCCTACGTTAACATTATTATTTATTATTATTATTTGGAGTACTCATCCATTAATTTGTTGATCAGCTGTCCAGTCTCGTCAAAGCCAGTCCTTAAGAGGACCGCCAGGTTACGCGCTCCTCCGTCACTACCCAACAGCCAGAATTGGGAAGGAATCAGGAAAGTGGTAGGGTTTAGGACACGTCACAGTTGTTGAACTAGCTGGACTAGCTCTTTAGAAGCAGCCAAACTCATTTTGTCGGAACAAATTTCACGTGAGATGGTATATGGTATTCAATATATATGGTATTCAATCCTTATATTCACTTATAACATTAGACTATTCGTTCAATTGTTAGACCGTTCATGTGGAACATACTAGATAAGTAACACATTTGGACAGACTGTGAGAAACAAAATAAATTAATTGGATTGTTGGTGAAGTAGATACCTTTTTATTATGATAAATAAATAAGATATTGTCAGGTATCAATATTTTAATTCAACTTATCATCATTTCGATCGCGTAGCGATCATCCTCAGAGCTTGCAGCTTCTGGGCCGAAAACAAAGTTCTGCTACGCGATCGAAATGATCATAAGTTGAATTAAAATATTGATACCTGACAATATCTTATTTATTTATCATAACAAAATAAATGTATGAGAACGTAGCATTCTGCGGGAGTCATCTGCTTGGCTGTCCGGGAGACGCTGTGCCCCTGTCCGGCATAGGGACCTGTGCCTGTGGCTGTGGCTACGACGGCAGCTCTGTCTATGGCGCAGCGTCTCCCGGACAAACAAGAACCTATAGAATAAATTTAATATACAGAGTTTGTCTATAATCGCAGCCAACTCGAATTTCTGTAAACGGTTCAGGATATTGAGATGGAATTTTTACCAAAAGATTTAGGACATAGGGGCTTATCAGTTGTAGTAATTGTTTTTGAGATATTATTTTATTTAAACACTCGAATTGCGAAACCAATGGGGACGCTTTATCTCGTGTGGTGTATTTGAATACCCAAACATCAAAACAAAAAAGTAAGTGTTAGGTAAGAAACAAGATATACAGAATCAAGTAAGTTCATACCTGTTTCGTAAACTCCATAAAAAAGAACGTGAGGTAAGATACTGCGGACACTGCTAACAATCACCAATATACGAGATTCACTTCGGTCACGTGAGCTGTACAGGGAGGACCACCTAAGTCGGTCACAGCAAATATCTTGAAAACTGTTTGAGGTATCGAGAAGCTATTTGCACCATGTTGTCGCAGATGATGCAGCAAATAACTCATTTTTTTTACTTTTTACCGTATGTAATTTTAGAGATATTCACACAACATTTTTTTAAATATAAGTATAAATAGTTTTGTACATCGTTCTTAAGTTCTTTGAAAATGAAGTGCGATTATTTTAATATCCGAAAAAAAAAATTGCGAACACAGTGCAATACGACTTGGTAAACGCCCTGCCGCAGCCCGCAAGGACAGATGACCTTGCTGACGTCTTATAGTGAGTGAGTCCATGCACCTTTTTGGAAAACGAGAAAGTTCGCCGATAACGGATCTCGTATGTTCTTGCTGGAAATGCTCATTACCTCGGTTTTGGACTTGCGAAAGGTATGAAGGGTGTTCGAAATCACATTAATTTCAGCGGAGATGTGTATCTAAATACCTTTATTACATTTATATTAATAATTCAAAAAAGAAGCGAATATTAATGAAAGTATTATTAACGAACAAAACAAAACAAGACAAGAAATTTAAAAATAAAGACACTATCAATATTCAAAATAACATGCTTATATTCAAATAGGTTTTTGAAACGTAGCAGCACGCAAGAAATTCGCTATTTTCAGGTCATGTGCTCTGTGTGTTTCCCATCGATCGCAATGCACATTTGTAAGCAGCGCGCAAGATCAACTGTCCTTGCGCGATGCGGCATGGCCAAGCGGCATAACCAAGTTGTAATTGCTTTATTTTTGCAAAAAAATACTTTTCGAAAACGAACAATATTTTTACTTTGCATTTCGTTTTTAAAGAACTTTAGAAGCAGAAAAAAATATACTTCCATTTAAAAAAAACAAAGTTGTGCCTATTTCTCTAAAATACATACAGTACTAACAAGAAAACAATATTTTTATTGCCCCATCATCTGCAACAACATGATGAAAATAGCATTTTGAATCCTTAAACCGTTTTCAAGGTATTTTCTGTGGCCCACTTAGGTGGCTTCCTCTGATAGATCTGCGACAAACGATGTCATTCCGATTACAGCATTAGTTATCATCACTTTTCCGTTCACAAAATCCAACACTGTAAGTACGTAGAGAGCGGTGTTACCGTGCGCCTTCATTGTCATAATACTGATAAGTTACACAGATGCTCGTACACATATGCATACACAGTACCTCTCCACACAATACCTCTCCCAAGCAATGCTGCAAAGCTGTAACTAGCAAACTACTATACTTACGCGAATGCAATAAAACAAAATGTAGTTCTTGTAGCTTAATAGAATAATATATAAATTGATTTGCGTTAACACCACTCCTGAGAAGAAACACAAAAGAAAAGTAACGTAGACAACAGGGAATTCAAATATTCCAAGCGAGTACTTTAGTGTTAAAGTTATCGGATTAATTTCGCTCTTTTAATGAAACGCTGTATTTTTTTCACAAGAAACAGAAATCTTTTGAAAAGAGAAATGCATCTATACTACATATGGTGTATACACAAAAAATACATTAGTGACGCAGGTAGGGCCAGCTCAACGAACCTCAAACACAGGTTGCAGTGTAGGGCAGCGACCTTGGCGACTAAAGTGATCGAATTTCCCTCCGCAATTTCTCATCGACCCAGTGAAGTAAATTCACAATCTTATTTTTCTCTTTTACCAGACGTATGTTACAATCATTCAAGAAACATGAGTTTACATTTACACCAAGAGACTTAATCGAAGTGACAAGGACAACAGTGGAATCGTAGATTTTTAAAAGGAGGATACTTGTGTCAAGTGTGGTTGCGGAAGACTTACGAAATACACTCGACACTCATCATTACGTCACTGACTTTTTTACATCTTTGTGCGTCAGTTCGTTAAACGATACTGTCGTCGTTCCTTTGAACAGCTGCGGTGGATTTCGAAATGCAGCAAAAATACAGAAATACTTTTCAACGCTCCACGGTGAAAATAATGCTATTCCCAGACAAGGTCGCCTTCAATTGACTTCCATCTTCTTCAGTAATAGAGATATTGACACAAAATAGTTTTTAAATGTAAAATTTTAATTTTCTTCAGTACGTTCTCGTGATTTTTAAATCATCAATAAAACTAAATGACACAAATACTGAAATTACACTGTTGATAAAAATACAA